CTATAAATTTCCCTCTGAGGACTGCTTTCATTGCATCCCACAGACTTCTGTAGGTTGTATCTCCATTTTCGTTTGATCATAAATAGTGTTTAATCTCTACTTTATTTTCCTCTGTGACCCATTGGTTGTTCAGGAGGATGTTATTTAATTTCCAACTGCTTATGGGGTTTTTGTGTTTTCTTTTGTCATTAATTTCCAATTTCATTGGACTATGGTCTGATAGCATACATGGGATAACTTCAATTCCTTTGCATTTACTTGAACATGTTCTATGTACTAGTATATGGTCTATTTTAGAGAACGTCCCATGTACAGCTGAGAAGAATGTGTATTCTGATGCTGGTGGGTTGGAACACTCTGTAAAGGTCTACTAAGTCCATATATGTTCACGTGTTTGGTTAAGTTCTGTTATTTCTTTCCCAATTTTTTGTCTATTGGATCTATCTCTTTGTGACAATGGTGTGTTAAAGTCCCTTGTTATGATTGTGTTGCTACTTATTTCATTTTTCATGTCTGTTAGAATTTGTCTTATATAGGTGGGTGCTCCTATATTTGGTGCATAGATGTTTACAATTGTTATCTCTTCCTCATGAAGCTTCCCCCTCACAAGTATGTAGTGACCTTCTTTATCTCTTTTGATTGTTCTTGGTTTTAAGTTCATGTTGTCTGCAAACAGAATAGCTACACCTGCTTTTTTATGGGTTCCTGTCACATGGAGTATTGTTTTCCATCCTTTAATTTTCAATCTTTGAATTTCCTTTTGAGTTAAACGTGTTTCTTATATACAGCATATAGTTGGATTTTGTTTCCTGATCCACTGTGCTGGTCTGCTTCTTTTGGTGGGAGCATTGAGATCACTTACATTGATGGTTATAACTGACATGTACTGGCTTATCTTTGTCATGCTATTTTCCTGCTGCTGGATCCTCCTTTTTCCCCCTGTTTAATTGCTGGTTCTGTTTGGTGGTTCCTTTCTGTTGTTGTTCTTGAAGTTGCAGTCTGTTTTATCTCTTTCTAGAATATCTTTTAGTACTCTGTGTAGGATTGGTTTGGTGCTAATGAATTTCTTCAGTTGTTCTTTATCATGAAAATATTTTATTTTTCCATTAAATTTGAAGGATAGCTTTGCAGGGTACATCAATCTGAGTTGGAAGTTGTTTTCTTTCAGTACCTGAAATACTTCACTCCAAGCTCTTCTTGCCTTGATGGTTTATGTTGAAAAGTCTGCCATGATTCTGACAGGCTTTCCTTTATAGGTGATCTGTTTCTTTTCTCTAATAGCTTTTAATATTCTGATCTTTTGTTGAGTTTCTGGGATCTTGATGACTATATGTCTGGGTGTAGATTTACTTTGGTTAGGATTAACTGGAGTTCTCTATGCTTCACTTATCTGGATGTCCGACTCTTTTTCCATGCCTAGGAAATTTCTGCTATTATTTCTGCAAATAGTCTTTTTATGTCATCTGTGTTGACACCTGCTGTTTCATTAATATCTGTTAATCTGACTTTGTTTTTCTTTGCTTTGTCTTGCAGTTGTTGAATTGTTATTTCCTGGTTTCTTGTTTTTAGGAGATCTGTCCTTTCACATTCATTAGTGGCAGTGCTGTCGTCAAGGTCTGAAAGTCCATCTTCAGCTTCGTTCAGGTGGTTTTGCAAGCTTTCAATGGCATTTTGAAGTTCCTGGATATCTGTTTGCATCTGTTTCCTACCTTCCAGTTCTTTTCTATATTGTTCACTGACAGTTTCCATGAGTTGTCTGTGCTCTTCTATTTTCTTGTTAATGTCATCTTTGGATATGTTGAACATTTCTTTCCTTATTGTTGTCATTTCTTTTTTCACCTGAGACATTATTTGTGATCTGATATTTTCTATGGCCTGATGGAGTTGTTTCTTTACTTCAGTTGCTATCATTTCAGAAATTTCAGGCGTATGGCTTCCAGGCTCTTCTATGTTGATGCCTCCTGGATTTGTTTTGGGTGGTGTGGAGGTCTGGGATTGCATTTTGCTCCTCTTTGTCAGAGGCTCCCTGGAGTGTAGCCTCACTCTCTTGATTGGGTGTGAGTGGCAGGGCGAGAGTCTGAAGATCCCGAGTACTCAGTGTAGCTCCTGTGCTGGTGAGTGGTGGCAAGGTGGGGTCCTCGATGCTCCCGACCTTTCTTGCATTCTGTTGGCTCCCAGGAGTGTGTGGGAAGGGCGGGGGAGGCTCGCCAGCATTCCTGAGACTGTCTGGGGTTTGGCGCAGCTTCCACAAGAATGGGGGCGTTGCAGGTTATGTTCACCATGGCTTCAGATATTGCCCAGGACAGAGCCTGCTTCCCACACCGGAAGGGGAGGGGTGAGGGTGAACTCCCCAAGGCCACTGACTCTGTCCAGGTTTCAGCTGAGCTCCCAGAGGGGGTGCGAGTTGTTCTGGCAGTGACCACCAAGGCCCCAGAAGTTGTCCAGGACTCCACGTGCCTCACACCCTAGTGGGGGAGTTACCAGAGTGGCTCACCAGGGTTCTTAAAGGTGTCTTGCATTCCACCCAGCCCCCGAAGACACAGTATGGATGTGGCAGGTAGCCACGGAGGCCCCAGAGGGTGCCCGAGGTTTCGCCTGCCTTGCACGCTGGTCAGGGAGGCAAAGCCGCGATTCCTATCTGACAGTATCTTAATTGTTCTCTCACCTTTTAAAAAGTCGTATGATTGTGTACAGCTAAGGTACACAGCATGATGCTATAAGATGCACCTACTACATAGTAAAATGGTTCTTACTCTGGAACAAATGCACATGCCCATCACCTCACATGGCCACCCGATTCCCCTGTGGCAAGAGTGGCTGTCGTCTACTTCTTTAGCCAGAATTCCACGTACATCATCTGTAACCTTTGTACTGTGAGATCTTTTGATTTGCTCAGCCTGCATTTCTAATTTTATAACCTTTGACTTACATCTTCTCATTTCCCCCTCTCCTAATCTCTGGAATTCATAGTGTTATTTTATCTCACCTGTTTTTTTCTTTTGAAAAATTCCACCTATAAGTGAAATCATATTGTTATATTTCTGTGCATAGCTTATTTCATTTAGTATAATGTCTTCTCATGTCATCTATGTAATGGAAATGGCAGAATTATTGCATAATAATATCTGTACTCTCATATTCACTGAAGAACTACTAGAAATAATCTATACAGCCCAGATGTCCACTAATAAATGAGTGGACAAAGAAACCGTGTGTGTGTGTGTGTGTGTGTGTGTGTGTGTGTGTGTGTGATGGAATGCTATTCAGTCTTTAAAGAGGATGTTCTCCTTTGATATTAAATGGCAGTTTTGCTGGATAAAGAGTTCTCACTCATTTTAATTATTAAGATATATTAGAGTGGGTTAGGACTCACTATGCTCTTATACCAGTTTATACGTATGTAATACATCTTTATTAACTTAAAAATCATTTAATCAAAATAACTTTGCCCTCAAAAATAGAAGTTGAGTTTAAGAATTATAACCTAATTTGGAAAAACTGGATTTATACTGTTTTTAATGTAAAATTTTAAAAGCTTGTATGAAATCAGTCAATCAGAAACCAGAGCTTTTAGGCTAGGGATTTAGCTCAGTGGCACAGCACCTGCCTGGTAAGCACAAGGTCATGAGTTTGAGTCCCGGTTCCAGAAAAAACCAAAACCAAAAAAAAAAAAAGAAACCAGAGCTTTTAAAGCACCCAGTGTCTGAGCACCATGAAGCCTTCCTACTCCCTTTGCTCTCCCACGATGAGTCTGCAAAGTGTGCACAGGGTGAGAACGAGAAGACGGGGTGGAACCCAGCCTGCTGCCTCTGCAGTAAATCCTGTGTCCACTTAACATGTTTAATGTGGCAGAGATAAGCAAGGAAACACAAAAAGTTCAGCACTAAGTGTGAGGAGCGTGGGGGAAAGAACAAACTTTCACTCTGGTCAGTAACGTTTTATTTCTGTCACCATAGTCACAGCTGTATTCTTTGCCCGAACTTCTGATAGAGCCCAGCTTGTTGGTTTTCTCTGTGGAGCAGTCTGCTGTGGCCCTGGTTCTGTCGTGGACTTGCTTTTACTCCTGCTGTGTCAGCACTGCAGCATTAGAGAGTCGTAACTTTCCAGTATTCTGAAAATATTGGAAGATGTGCTAGAGATGTGCTTTTTCTGAGAAATGTGGAAGAACCACAAATATCTACATTTAGAGGAGGGAATATTGACATGTAAATATTCCCTGGATCATTAGTTTGGAAATCAAATATTTAGATACCAATCGCATTTCTATCAGTAATTATTTCATTCCTCTAAGACTGAGTAATTCTCATCATCTCATTTACCTCTCTGTAAGTAAAGAGATTGGATTTGGCAATTCTTTTTGTTATTTAAAAAATCATTATCTTTATGAGTCCATGTTTGCAGCATGTAATGTTCACGTTCCTTGTGTGGAGCTGGTGTGTGTGTAACACATCTTAGGTGTTGTTCACTTCCTCTCCCTCCCTCTTTTTCTTGGTTCCCTTCCCTTTTGCAAAAAAAAAGTTATCGCTCTCTTTTCTGTTATTTATTTTTATCACACGGCTTCTCTTGTATGAGAAACCCAAAATATAAATAAAGAGCAAAATGAAAGACAGATAATTGGATTTGTCAATTCTTAACCCTCTTATACTGTAATGTAAAAATTTTTAATAATTCCAAAGTAGATCTTCCAAAATTCATGTTACTTAAAAGTGTGAACTTAAATCTCTGAAAGTTGTGAAACTGACAGATGTCCAAAACCAAAGTTCACAGTGATAGAAAAAGTGTTCTGAGTATGAAACTATTTAAGTTTTAGAAACAATTTGGCAGAAGTGTCTACCGTACACAGTAATGTAGTTTAACATATTATCTGGAACTCCTGATTTGTCATGGCTCATAAGGAGATGAAGAGTGGAATGTTTTGGGTTTCTATCTTATTATAGTTGTATTTTTGGGTACATATGGTTGATAGTGACTTACTTCTTTTTATTTTTTCTGAATTATAGGGTGGTTTCACACGTAAATATTCTCTTAGCTCAAAAACGGGAACTCTTCTTCCAGAATTCCCCAGCGCTCAGCACCTTGTGTACCAAGGATGTGTTTCTAAGGACAAGGTACCGGTTAAAGACACTTCTGCATTGATTTTCTGATATGTTGGTTCCATATCTCAGCTTCTTGGGAATCTCATGGTACTTGCAGGAAGCAGTCAGAAATTTGCATAATCAAACAGAATTGACTGATTTATGGGAGAGATAAATGCTAACTAACATTGATTAGCACTTTCCAATTAATTATTTACCATCTTATGATAGTATGTAATCAGAAGGTGGTAAAATAAAGCTGAACAAGCTAAAGATATTTTTACTGAAAACGCTGTGTTGAGGAAGACAGTGTTACAGTGTGTGGGTACCACATGCAGGTTTTTCCCTTGTGGACCTCCTGTTACCCATTAGCTCCGTTTTTCTGTAGTGAGCAGTCATCAAGCATTTGCCGAGGACAGAATTTGCCCCTAGCCTTGAGGAGGAGATGCCTAGAGAATGCAGGCTACACAGAGCCTCCTGCAAATTCTAAAATTCTGTGCTCTTCATGTTTGTAATTCTTTGAAAACCTGAGGAAGTAATATTTTCAGTGGATTCAGTTTATAAATGACCTTCAGTACGACTTTTCAGTGCTTAATAAGAGAGTCTGCATCTTAGCCCTGTTTTATTTCTGTGCTTCCAGAGTCATTTGTTGGGAGCCTTTTGGCTGTTTAATGACAGGAACCATTATTAAATCAGAGCATAATGATGTCCACATATTTCTTTCAACTAAATACCGTTTTTATTTGTATTTGAGGAAAACACCTTTTATAGTGTATTGAGTCAGTTCATATTTTTCAGCTGTGGAAATAGAGGAATATGATTAATGTCTAGTTGCATTATTTTAGCGGTAGGCTTTTTATAGGAAATAAAAAGGGCATATTGATTTTTTTCAAAGCTATTGATACATAAGTGCAGAACTAGAGTAATTCACAGGGTTCCTTTGAGGGCAGACATTGCCAAGTGAGAGTAATGAAAGCCCAGGAGACAGCTCTCAGATGCTGACCCCAAGGGAGTCCCTGAGGGGTGTCTGCTTCCTCCCAGTCTCCTCCCTGCCGCATCAAGGTCACCACATGTTCTTGACCTTATAAGTGTAGTGTGTGATAGGGTGACATCGTGATTAAAACTCACCAGTGAATGGTAACGGGGGCACTTGGAGGGACTCCTGTTCTCTGAGGGAGGGTGGTGCTGGGCCTCCTTTGTGGAGAGCACTGCTTACATGAAGCACATCACAAGAATATTTACTGTAAGTAGGGAGGGGAGAGAGAGTGTGAGACAGAGACAGACAGAAACAGAGAGGCAGGAGTGAGGAGCACGCTTTGATAGTTTAATTTTCTCTGCTGGTCTCCGAGGAATTCCTTAGCTGTCAACTTGAAGGCCAGGCAGATCCTTTCTCACGCGGGGACGAGGGTGCTTACGGGACCCCGCCTTCTAAGTTCATTCCCAGTGAAATTTCCCGTGAACACCAGGCGTGGCAGTGCTCCTGTCCTTTCAAGACCACTGAGCCCTTTGGCCTTCCCAGCACGTAGCCAGGTTCAGCTTGTCAGTTACTAGAAAGAACGTGGGCGAAGCCAAGGACCAGAAGCGCCTGTACCCTTAGGGAGAAAGCGTTGCCTGCAGCTCTGGCCTCCGCCAGCGCTCTTCGCGCTGTCCTCAAGGCAGCTGCCGCTCATCCTTGCTGATGCTCAGTGCCGCCGAGCGACTTCCGCCTCCCACAGTGAGCTCTGTTCTCAGGGAGAACTATGTTTGTAAGCAGCACAAGCACACTACAGTTAAAATTCATTGTCCTAAAACTGGGAAAGTGCTTGACACATGAAGTGATAACAAAGAGGGAACATTCTGTGATTTGTATATAAAGCAGTAAGTACATTTTGACACAAAGAGGAATCTTGTGAAGATAGGAGCTTGCTTTCCCTTTAGTAGGTTTTACAGCTTATTTTAGGGTTAATTGTGGACAATGGTATGACTTCTCTTGCATCATTCTGTTGTCCTTAATCTTATGTAAAAAGGATGTCGTGGTGATCCATCTAACATACTGTAGTATTGCCTAAAACACAGCAAGTCTTGTTTGCATCGATTGGAGTATATCCTGCTAAAGGTGTCCTAAGGGTGGCACACCTTTGTGGACATGGGTTGGTAGTTTGTGTGTCATCATTATTCAGCTGTGAGGAGACCACAGAAATGTGTGCTGTCCCAGGGATGCAGGAATAAGTGGGCAGAGAACAGCATTAGGATCGGACAGCCCATCCCCCAGCACTACCCCAGGTGCTTTGGCATCAAAACGATGACATCCATCAAGTTCTTGTTATGTACTGTGGATTATTCCAGCAACTTTACAAGTGTTCGTTCATTTCAAGCTCATTGTGTGTTACTGATGCATCAGTTTCACAGATGAGAAAATTAAAGCACTTTATAAACGTTAGGTAGCTTTCCCACTGCCATGTAGCCGGTAGACAGAACCTTAGCACTAGGATTCACATCCAGGAATCTTAAAGCAATCTCATGGGCAATGTCTGAGCTATGCTCCTTTCCATAGAGATCAGAGCCAGTAAGAGATAGCATATAAAATAAGGATTTTAGTTTGAATATTATGAAGTTGTTAGCATGTTGTCTGCCTCTAATTCATTGTAAATTTTAGAATATGTACAAAAATGTTTTTTTCACAATTATTATTTTTTTTTCTTTTTGACAGTACTGGGCATCAACCCCAGGGCCTCGATTGTGTTAGGCAAGTGCTGTACCATTGAACTATGCCCCCAACTGTTCAAAACTCTCTAAATAAAGCAATCAAAATAATTATGGAACCTGGAAATAGAGACTGTTGATAATAAGGACTTACTGTTTGAAGCTTTTTCTATAAATACACCTGTGACATCATTGCTGCATCTGATGATGTGTAGTATCTGTTGGTTTTCTTACGGTTGTGAGAGCAGTGTGCTGTTGCCACTTGTCCAGAGCTCATCTGGTTGGGGCACAGAGAAGCCAGCCATGGGTGAGCTGACTCCCAACGCAGAGTCCAAGGAGCAGCACAACTGCAAGCTACCTTCGGGCTGGGCAGGTGGCTTCCCACCTCCAGGTTTCTTGTTAGGTAGAAAACTGGGATGTGGCTGTGGCACTGCTCCTGCAGCTGCCTTTCCCATTGCTGTGACAGATCATGTGGTAATCCCCAGTTTACTCAACTTTATGCACTCACAAATCAGTCAGCTCCTTGAAATAGGGCTTTACTGTTTTGATCCTCAGCACTGAACATAGTGACTGGGATGCAACAAGAGTTTACACATTGTGTGGCTAAATGAACCGATGTAAAGGATCCTTTGGCTAAGCCTTTTCTTCCTTGAACTAGGTCGACACCCTCATAATGATGTACAAAACTCACTGCCAGTGTATCCTGGACAATGCAATCAATGGGAACTTTGAGGAGGTAAGGAGACAGCGGGCAGCGTCCTGACCTTGTTGCACATGTGGTCCTGTCCATGACTAAAGCTCACACTGGCAGGAGTCTTACCATGTGTACTCTCTGCCTTGCACCCAGATCCAGCATTTCTTACTACACTTTTGGCAAGGAATGCCTGACCATCTTCTTCCCCTGCTGGAAAATCCTGTGATCATTGACATTTTCTGTGTCTGTGACTCCATCCTCTATAAGGTAAGCCCCCGGGGGTCTTCACCACGATAGGTCTGTTTCTCTAAATAACATCCTACTTAAATTCCTGAAATAATAAACCTGCTATTCCTAGCTGTAGATGTGCTGTTTTTTAGGATAACAGAACAACTTAGTGCATGTTTAAGAATGTATATATTTTAAATGAAATATTTGTCAAGTAGAACTCAACTTTCATTTACAGCTATAAGTGTAAAGGTGACATGATTGTTAATGTGTGAAAACTCAGTTAATTTTATTACCTAAGGTGTTTTCAGATTAAAATGGCAGAATGACTGTTTCACAGTATCTGCATTTTAAAGGAAAGCGGACATGAGGCACCTTCACAGGATTAATAGCTTGCAAACCCCTAGCTTTAACACATTAGTGTACAGTTCTTAAACCAAGTGAGAGTCCCCACATATGTTCATGCAGATCCTGAAGACTTCCTGAATAGAGACGAGGTGCTTGGCTTTCTACTGAACACTCACTGGCAAGGGACCGTCTGGGCCCTGTTTGAGCAGCAGCAAGGTCTCAGTGGAAGAACAAAATTATATTGCAATCCGGGCATTTTAAAGAGTTTACCTGGTAATCTCAGCTACTCAGGAGGCTAAGGCAGGAAGATTGCAAATTTAAGGCCACCTGGGGTTAGTTAGTAAGAACTCAAAAAATAATTTTTAAAAAGGCCATGGATGCAGCTCAGTGGTAGAGCATTCCTAGGTTCCATTCCCAGCAGCCCTCACTGGTTCTACCTGCCAAATTGTCATACGTGAAAATAGAAGCATTCCTTTTAAGGAATAAGATGAATTCACAAGCAAAACCCAAGCCCGCGGAGCTAGTTCTGTCGGATTCTTAACCTTGCAGAAAAGTAAAGCAGGACCTCGCTGGCTCCTCTAGGAGCAGCTGTTAGACCAAGAGTGGACACACTGGCCTGAGTCATAGTGAGGGGTTCATAGTTTTTTCTCTGTTTGGTTCTCCGTCATCATAGGCAAGAGAATGAAGGAATTGGTGTGGGGCACTTGCTTCTTGTAGCTCAAGTTGGAAAAGGATAAGTGAGAGAAAGGATAGTCTGTTTTTTCTGGAGTGAATATATATGCCATTATTATTGTTTTTTAAACAACCTAATTGTAAAAAGACTCAAGATTAAACTACTGTTTTCTGACCTAGGGAAATGTTTTTAAAAATATAGATCAAATATGGTATTACTATTACATTAGTAAAACAATGCAACAAGAACTGTTTGTGAGATCCGTTCTCCCTTTTTTGATTGGGTAGAACACCCAATGTAGAAGCAGTCAATATCTGACAACATGGAATTACCAAATTAAAAGAATACTATGAATGTATTCATATTTTTTCTATACTGAATAAACAATGTAACAGATAAAATGTAAATAAAAGTGATATGACCAGTAAAAAAAAAAATGAATGCTATTATTTAGAAAGAAAAGGTTCCCTTTGCCCTGGTTGCTTAATGCTTGAGGAGGCAACCATGGTCAGGGGCATGGAGCTCTCTCCTAAGACATCATCCTGCAGTGATGCACACCCATGTTTACAGCAACACAACTCATTATACCTAAACCTTGGAAGCAGCCTCTATGTCCATCAACAGATGAATGGATAAAAAATGTGGTATTTATACACAGTGCAGTACTACTCTGCCATAAAAAGGATAAACCTGAATCATTTATAGGAAAATGGATGTACCTTAAGACCACCATGTTAAGTGAAATGAATCAGACACAGATGCGTGAATATCACATGGCTTCTCTTATGTGAGAGTCCCAAAGTGTAAGTAGATTAAAGAGCTCAACATAGACAACAGGAAACAGGGAGACAGATCTTTTACAAAAAGGAAGAAGACCCAAGTACAGGCAGAAGGGAGGAGAAAGGGCCAAAAAAAAAGAACAAAGATGTGTTATATACATAAGCCAGCTTCCCACGGTGATACAGGCATTATGTACTGCAAATGTGTACTAATAAAAAGAAAAAATGCAAAAAAGACCTGGGCACATGGCCACACATCTGTCACCAGAACAACAAAGCTCTCTGCACTGTCTTTACTCCTCTAAGAAGTACCCTAGAAGCTCAAATGATCCATTTTTTTGTTGTTGTTTTTTAGTCTGATACAAAATCCTGAGTTTAAGTATCTTTGGTTAAAAAAACCAAAAAGTTTGGTTAAAAAAACAAAAAGTTTGTTTTTTGAGACAGGGTCTGTCTGTGTAGTCCATGCTGGTCTTGAACTTACTATGTAGCCCAGGCTGGCCTCAAACTCATGGCAGTCCTCCTGCCTCAGCCTCCCAAGTGCTGAGATTACATGCATGTGCCACCACACCCTACTCATGAATTTAGGTATCTTTAAATGGACCTAGTTTTTCTTCCTCACAGTGTGCCAAGGAAAGCACAGAGAACCCGGTATACTTAGTGGCTAGACCTTCATCCTACTTGTGGAGTGACCAGCTGTGTGTACGTGAAAGTGCAGGTGCTCACCACACTGACACTGTGGGGACTCATAGCACTGTCTGAAGTTTCACTCACACACAATCATACCCTGCTCACACACGCACACATTTAGGGATAAAACTGTGATTTTCATTCAGGAGGTAGTAGTTCTCCAGGAAGCTGAGAAGAAAAAGTAATGAGCAAATAATGTGTCCGTCTGTGAAGTACTTGGCAAAGATTTATGTTAACTATCTTTTGCTGTTATTAAGGTTCTCACAGAGGTACTCATCCCCGCAACAATGCAAGAAATGCCTGAAAGGTACGTTTCATTAATGAGATGATACTTGCATAGCATGGGGTTTCACCTTGTGCTTTATATTCAAGGAATGCATTAGGCAGAAATTCAGCATTCACTTATCAAGAAGAATATTTCTTTACTTCTTGACAGCTGAAGATGTGCTCCACTTCTTGCATTGAACCTTAACACAAAATGAATGGGTTAGAAATTTGAAATCCCTTTAAGTTTAACAGCTAATGAAATTAAAAATCAGTATTTACCGACCTTCAAGGTACTGAAAATGTTTTTCAAGGAAAACTAGCTGGAGGAAGACAAGTGAAGATACTTCATGGAAAATACCACAGTAATTAATTAAAGCTATAAGGAAACTTACATTTTTGCTATTAACTTTAACCTTAGTTGTAAAATCAGGAAATAAACTAATGAAATTACTGTCTTCTTTTAACAAATCACTTTTAAAGAGTTGATTGAAATGATACCTGAAGATTTTCCATGCAGCCCCTTCCAAGGTAAAATCAGCAGGAACTTGAAAAAGAGCCAGATTTTCCCTTGAAAGCAAAGTCTCATGAAATAATGAAGGTTACTTTAGTGTGGGAGGACAGGAATCCCTCCCATGTAGTTGTGGTTGGTGTTCAATCAGTAATGTTGACTGATAAAACAGATGTTGTTTTGGACTTATCTTTCCCTCCAGATTTTTGAATTTGTGTGCGTATCCTTGCTAATAGTCTGGATAATAGTGTCTTTTTTGTGCTACTGGGGATTGAACCCTGCCTTGGCACTGGGCTGCATCCCCAGTGTCCCCTACTTTTGAGACAGTGTCATTCTGAGTCACTGAATTGCACAGGTGCGACCTCAGCTTGTGATCCTCTGGTCTCAGCCTCGCAGAATGCTGGCATTCTTGGCGTGTGCACTGAGCTTTGCAGTGTTTCTTTTCATTGTCAACGTTTAATCTGTACTCTGCACCAGCTACACTGTGTCATAGGAAAATGTTTGTACTGAGTTAGCGATGGCACATAACTAATAAAACTCGTTTGAACAGCTGATGAGTATTGAACACAAGGTAAGATTGTAGTCTTAAATTGACGCGAGCAAAAAGCCCAACAGGAGAACAAAAAGACATACATGAGTGCATTTTAAAAAGCCTTTCAGTCTCAGCACATTCTTAGCATCTTGGGTTACAGCATCAGAGTTTTTTTCTAGGAATATCTGCAAATATACATGTTTTAAAATGGAGGTGCATCATGGATAAGAAGAACCAACACTGTGAAAATGGCCACACTCCCCAAATTACTGTACACATTCAATGCAATCCCAAAAAAATGCCCTTAGTACACCTCACAGATCTAGAGAAAACACTCCTAAAGTTCGTCTGGAACCAGCAGAGGCCTCGAATGGCAAAAGCAATCCTGGGAAACAAAGGAAAGGCAGGAGGCATCACAATTCCTGACTTAAAATTATATTACAAAGCTACTGTGATAAAATCAGCATGGTACTGGCAAAAAACCCAACCTGAAGATCAATGGAACAGATTAGAGGATGCAGACATAGTTACAAATACACTTAGCCACCTTATCTTTGACAAAGGGGCCAAACATGTTCACTGGAAGGAAGATAGCTTCTTTAATAAATGGTGCTGGAAAAACTGGCTTTCTACATGCTGAAGACTAAAACTAGACCCATGTCTATCACCATGCACTAAATTGAAGTCAAAATGGATCAAAAATCTGAATATTAAAATAGAAATACTAAATCTACTGGAAGAGAATTAGGTAAAAATCTTGACGACATTGGGGTCAACGCAGACAGTTCATGAACAAAAACCAAACTGCATGGGGAATACTTCAAAGAATCAACAACTGGGATCTCATCTCACTGAAAAGCTTTTGCACATCTAAAGAAGTCACCAATAGAGTAAAAAGAAAACCTACGAGTTGGGAAAAAGTTTTAGCCAACTGCCCCTCAGACAAAAGACTTCTATCTAGGACATACAAAGAATTTAAAAAAATCAGGCCCCTCAAATGCAAAGACTCAATCCAAAAATAGGCATCCGAGATGAATATGCACTTCTCAGATGAAGATACACAAATGGTGAATAAATACATGAAAAATGTTCAATGTCATTAGTCTTTCAAGAAGTGCAAATTAAAACAACACTGAGATTCCATCTCATCCCAGAAAGAATGGTTATCACCAAGAAATCAACCAATAACAAATGCTAGAGAGGCTGTGGGGAGAAAGGAACCCTACTCCACTGCTGGTGGGAGTGTAGATTGGTGAAACCACTGTGGAAATCAGTTTAGAGATTCCTCACAAAACTAAGATTGGAAGTCCCATTTCACCCAGCTATTCCCCTTCTGGGTATTTTCCCAGAAGAATTAAAAACATCCTACCATAGTAATATATGTGCACCCATGTTTATAGCAGCACAATTTGTTATAGCTAAATCTTGGAAACAACCCAAATGCCCATCAACTGAGGAATGGGTAAAAAAGATGTAGTATTTTTATACAATGGAGTGTTACTCAGCTATTGAAAAGATAAACTTGAGGCTTTTGTAGATAAATGGATGCAACTAGAGACCATACTCATAAGTGAAATAAATCGGACCCACATGTGTAAACATCATATTATCTCCTTGGTGTAGGAACCTGAAAGACTAGGTAAAACTCAAAATATACAGTAGATGAAAGGAAAGGGAAAGAAATTGCTCAAAGAAAGGAACAACTGGGACAAGGGAAAGAAGAAAAAGAAGGAAGGCAAAATATAAATATATGTATAAATAGGTGTGATAACCGTGTGATGTGCTGATGTGTGATGGTATATTGAAGGAACAATTAATGCTTAAAATTTTTCATGTTGTACAAAATAGCAAAAGAGCAGTACAAACAATACAGAGTTATGAACAAAGTGGTAGGAAATTAACAATGCTGTCTGTTAATGTTTTCCTTTTATTTTTAAAATAAAAAAAATAACAAATAATTTTTTTTTATGTTCTGATCAATTTTGCATGCTTCTATCTGGTAATCTGAGCAATTGATTTGAAGGTAACAATATGCAGTTGAATTACCGTGGTGAATTCCTAGTGCCTTGTCTAGTGAAATTCTGTATTACCTCTAATGTTTTATCGAAGAATTATTTTCTTATTCTCTTTAATGGTTTGGGCAATTTTTCATTCTTACATCTGGTAGTCTGAGCAACGTAGTTGAGGATAGCAATATATAATGTAACAACCACTGTTAATTCATATTATTTTGTCTTGAGACCCTGTATCACTTTAAATGTTCTTGCTCGGGTTTGTTTATGTCTGTGATACTGGTATGCTGCTATTGTTCTTTTTTGTTTGTTTGTTCTCATTTACTAGTCTCTTTAAAAAATAAAAAAAAATAAAATGGAGCTGAAGTATACAAGCTATGACACTATATTCTGAGAGCATTTCCATGTCAATAAATATAAATCAATAAATACAGATCGTTATTTTAAGTGCTAGCATACATTTCCAGCATGCAGAGAACAGTACCCTTTAACCACTTCTTTTTCACCAAATAATTGGACTTAAAATAAACACAATCTGTCATCTTATCCTAAAGTAGCTATTATGAGCCCAAACCCTCAAATGAGGAGCCGAGCTCACCTCCCAGTCATCTCCCAGGAGGCAGCTCTGCACAGGAAGCAGAGCTGGGCTGGAACTCTGCTCAGCCACTCTCTTCCTGCTGCATTGCTGCTCCCCAGCGTGGGTGTGACCCAGTTGTGCTTAGGTTTGTCTTCTTGGGATAAGATATGAAGACTTTAGATTGACTTTTAAATTTGATATGTTCTCATAATACACACCAAGGCAACATGTGCAACTTTCTAAGTTGGGTCTACTTAGTGTGCTTTTGATAATTCACAGTGTTATATTCGGACTGTGAGAAGGTGTTACTAAAACTAATGTTAAGTAATGAAATGTTATTACCCCAATGTGCCATCTCTCACTGATGTACCATCATATGTCCACTTACCTCTTCCTAAAAATACGTTCAATAGGAAATGATTGCATCATGAGTTAATATTAATAATGCAGGGTCTGTTACCAAGTCCTCTCTGCACGTTTAGGCTTTTATCTGGGCACTTTTCAGGAATTATTTCCCACACTCCTCACAACAATCCTATGCCCAGATCCTGTTCTTATTTTCACTTAGAGGATGAAGAAACTGGAGCTTGAGGAAATTGAGTATTTTGATGAAGAGGATAAGTGGTTGGACCTGGGCTGACCTGTCTCGCTTCATGTCTGTGCTCTTGGAAGCACAGAGCAGTAGTGTATCTGCAAACCGCACTTACTCGGTGTGCTTTTGAGCAGCATAACAGTTAACGTGTAGTTTTCTTTGCAGCCTATTAGCCGACATAAGAAATTTTGCTAAAAATTGGGAGCAGTGGGTTGTTTCATCTTTGGAAAACTTACCAGAAGCCCTCACTGACAAGAAAATACCCATTGTGCGGAGATTTGTGTCCTCCCTGAAGCGACAGACGTCTTTCTTACATCTTGCTCAGGTATGTGGGTAAGCTGAGAATACTTATTGCCAAATCAAATCAAAAATAAGTCTCCTGGTAAGGACCAGCGTGAGGAGCTCTCACAGGTAGAAGGAAATCAGGAGGGAACAGCACACGTGTGATTCAGAGTGAGGAGCAGAACTGAAGGAGGCTGCTCCTGGGAAGCTGTGAAACTGAAGCTGCATCGGAGGCTAAATCATTTTTGGAGGTTAGTTCCCTGATTTTGCTGATATACAGTGCTCATGTAAGGCAACAAGAAGCCAGATGGTGGGTGTGTGGAAATACTTACTTAAAACGGTTTCAAAATAAAAACTAAAAAATAATCTTAGTTCTATAAAAACATAAAACATTTACTTACCATATAAATACAACTTGCGGTACAAGTGAAGACTGTGGGGAATGAGCACATGTGGTGTGTGGTGTTGGGAAGCCCTCAAGGCCGACACACTTCAGACAGCCGTCGCTTGCGCTCTCTTGTGGAGGAGGGACAAACACAGTTCTTAGACGAGGAATACCACGTATTGTTAAATGCGTTGTCACTACTCCAAGTGATTGGTTAATTTATAAAAGTTTGCAGTCCCTAACTTCTAAAAAGACTAGCTAGGAATAGCTCTAGACAAGAAATACAACATTTTGATTTTTGTTTTGTGACCTTGGCAAAATGGATTGTCATTTTCAAAACCCCAAAGTGAATTTTCAAACTGTTAACAGAGATGATCATGAATCTTAGTCATTGCCTTTTAATTTTCCTCAAGGAACTATTTTTCTTGAAGTAAAAACTTTCCTTTAGATATACACACTTTAAAATGATACCGGGTAGCATTTTTTTTAACTTTCTCTGTGCAGATTGCCAGACCAGCTCTTTTTGACCAACATGTTGTGAATTCTATGGTGTCTGATATTGAAAAAGTTGACTTGAATAGTATTGGGTCTCAAGCTCTTCTTACCATTTCGGGCAGCACAGATACTGAATCTGATATCTACAGTGAACGTAAGTCTATTTTCTTTATTAAGAATGAATTTTCCGCCTTCAGCACCGGATAGCTCTTCAGGCAGGGCCTGTGCCTGGGATGGTCGGGGGTCTAGCCTCTTCCCTTGCCTTCTGCCTACTGGGACCAGAGGTGGCTCCCCGTAGTAACAAGCAGAAAAGTCTCCAAACATGGCCAGATGTCCCTTGGCTGAGAAAAAACAGATCTGTTTGAGATACTCTGTTTATGGAAACATTTTTAATTTTTAAAATTTTTTTCTGTATTTAAAAACATTTGTACTTGTGGAAAACTTGGAAAAGACAGAAAACACTGAAAACAAAAAATCTACAATCTCATTTTCTGAAAATAACCAAAGTACAAGTAACCAACAAATCACTGACATCATTCTGAGTTTTGTGAGCTTTTTTCCTGTTTTGCATCATGTGCACACACATGTGCATGTGTGTCACACTGGTCGTCATGTGGTGTGTGATGCGCATCCAGGTGCTGTCTCAGCACAGCACCGTTGGCGGAGGAGGCTGTCCTCCGGGTTGACTCTCGACAGGGTGCCAAGTCATGCCGTGACCAGACAGCTAGGCTTGACTCCCAGGAGACCAGAGTCCACGAGTTTCCTGCCTTTCTCTCTGAACACCCACAATGACAGCGTCGCTGTGGGACACAGCGCACGGCGGACTGCTTGCTCTCTGTGGCCCACTCTCAACCTCTCTTTTTGCTTGTTAACATGGAATGCTACTACCTTTCAAGGTGCATTGAGCCTCAAACTCTTCAAAAACGATAATCCCAAACTGCCCTTTCTAATTTTATGACAGAAGGTTACTCAGATAATGGCTCAAACTTGCAATGCAGAATTTAATTTGCTAACGATAAAGGTTTTTTTAGAAAGTAGGAAATAAGCATGCTTAGTCTGCTTCATTCACTAGCTTTCTACTGATTAAAATGAATAGTAAACTGTATTAATTTACTCATGTGTGTATAAATATATATATATATATATAGAGAGAGAGAGAGAGACAGAGAGCCCATATTTCAGTATATACCAAGGTCGATGCACTTATGATTACAATTTTGAAGAGTTCAATATGAAGTACTTTTTGTTGCTGTTTTCCAAATGTGAAATTAATTCCTTTCACATTTTAAATGTACTCTACCTATCTCTTCCATTTATGGTACAGAACTGTTAATAATTCATAGTTCTACATTTTCGGTTTGGTTCAAAGTAGATGCAATATTCTGCTTTCTTCTCTCCCTTTTTGGATGTGGCAGATGATTCCATAACCGTGTTCCAAGAACTGAAGGACCTCCTTAAGAAGAATGCCACAGTGGAGGCTTTCATCGAATGGCTGGATTCTGTGGTGGAACAGAGAGTGATTAAGGTGCTTTTTCACCACAGTTTAGAAAGTAAAGTTTTGGTTAAGAGTAAATACTAATGTGGCTGTTTCTTGCCTGTTGAGGGAAAGGTGCAAGGCTACGTTTAGAAATGCTTTGGAAAGACTTTGCAGCCCCACACAAAGACAGCCCCAATATCAAAACTAGGAATGCAAACAGTTTGAAAGCACTGGCCATGGAGTTTATTTTGTTTCTCATTTCTTAACTGAGAGGAGCAAGGAACTGTTCCTTTCAGTAAAGTTCCTTTCAGTAAAGTTGCACTTGAGTAACATCTTCAGGAAAAGATGAACTTAGAAACTGAAAAGATCTGGCCCTTTCCTGAAAAGCAAGATTTTGTAAATGTTCACAGAAAATATAATTTTACTCATTTGCAATTCTGAATTCTAAAAGCTTTATATTTTATGCTTTTTACATTTGATTTCTTCAGCTCTTTCAGTCATCATCATGAAACAAGGCAGTAAGAACAACCATACCCCTTGCCAGCTGGTGTGAGCCATCCCATGTCAGGGAAATTAGTTATATCTGGGGACGTTTTTGTTCTAGAAGAAAAACATTATCATTCAGGACCTAAGAAGTCTGTTAATTATTCACAGAAATATGTAACCCTTCCTTTACACTTCACCTTTTACTCTAAACTCTATACAAAAAATTAAAAGATACAAATATTTTGTAAATTATCTCATTTTGTGGTTTAATTCTATTAGGAAACAAAGGTACATGGAATAAAGACTTGTTACCCTTAAAGTGACAACAAAGAGAAACTGAAATTCACATCCTTTGATAGGTCATTTTACTTGGTCAAATAATGGTGTACCATCTGCTGTCAGTTCATCTACCCTGTGGTCTGTGTAGGATGTGTGTAGTAATGAAACAACAGATTTTATAGTTTCATTTTGTTCTTTTCCTTTCAGACCAGCAAACAAAATGGAAGATCATTAAAAAAGAGGGCTCAAGACTTTCTGCTGAAGTGGAGCTTTTTTGGGGCTCGAGTAATGCATAATCTCACCTTGAACAATGCGTCAAGTTTTGGTATCTTATGTGCTTTATAAAAATCTTCTTATGTGAATTTTGTCATTCTTCTCCAGTCAATCTTCTGTTCATTTAGAAATATATTACATGCTCACTTCTTCAGCTGTATCTGAATATTCAGCCAGCAGAAAATAGTAGCTATGAGCCTGCGGTTTAGAATTAAACCACATGTGAGGATAAATCCTAACAAACCTTCTTTCTGTCTGATTTTACCCAAGCCAGTCTGGTGGGAAGAGCATTCTTTTCATAAGGTTGGATAGTCCCTTAATGAGAAGAGTATAAGAACATATTTCGTACCATTCAGTACATATTTAGTGAGTAGCACCCATAGTCCCAGTCCATTAGTACTTGGATAAATTTTCTTTGTCAAACAAATAAACAAACAAAATTAAGACAATATTCTCCAAAGTTATAACTCATTGTAATATAGAAATTTTTTGCATCTTTCCCTGGCACCCATATAGTTTCACTCCAGGATCAAAACATCAGCTTTGAAGACTCATTCTGATAAGTTTCTGAGCCATCTTTCCTGATCTGTATGACTTATAACATAGATTGGTCAAATTAATATTTTTCAAAAATTGAATACTTCTTTTTCTAAAATTTCTGTAGTTTGTAGTTATAATCTTAAATTTCTTGGCAGTAATTCTGTATTTAATAGTTACATTTTAAGAAAACTTCATGTTATAAAATAGATTACAATTAATTAAATTGTCTTTAATGTTCAGTGGAATTGAATAAAATTAATAGACTTGTACTGAGGGTAGAACAAAATATGCTGAGTCTATTATTTGAAATAGACTTGCTCATGTTTTAAATTTCTTAGAATATATAGCACTGAAATTTGACTTCATTATGAAAGAAGAGTTTTGTTGGGAAATTTGTGAAATAGTGAAAAGAAGTTTCAAGTTTTTTAGGACATCTTTCACATGAAAACTAGTCTTTTGCTTTTTGCTTTTCAACTCAGAGATTACTTATTTCAACCTAGAAAGACATTTGACAATACTTTTCAGACCATTTGCCCATTGTCGTAATTATTTAGTTCAAGCAAACAGAAGTAGAGCAGAGTAGAGCTCACTCTCCCCGAGCTGGAGCTTATCATACTCCAGTGTTCGCCCTCTTAAAGCACAAAGCATGTCTCACTTTCATCCATGGTTTCCTTTGATGTAATTAGTGGCCAGAGAGCTGGCAGGACAGTACACAGAAGAGCTTGGCAGGCAGCACACAGAGATTAGAGACCCACGTGAAGCATGTTGGTCTTAGCAGGTCATTTAAAGTCCAACAAGTATTTATTTCAGTTGCTCCTTGTAAAGTGTGGCGAGATGGTCACAGAGATAATCTGACTTCTCCCCCTCTGCCCCCGCACTGTCACTCCACTTCAAGTCCTCTCTCCTCTCTCCCTCCGTGGAAAGGCTCTTTTCACCTGATCCGAATGCTTCTGGACGAGTACATTCTCCTGGCCATGGAGACTCAGTTTAACAATGACAAAGAGCAAGAACTACAGAACTTACTGGACAAGTACATGAAGAATTCAGGTAACATAAAACAAGCATTATGTTTTTAATATTTTTTTGTTGAAGCTTAAACTCAAGAATTTGCAAGTGCTTAAGTGAGTTTCTAATAATCTTAGACTTTTCCCCTAAATATGTGGACACCAGCATCATACACTAACGCTAGCAGAATACTTTTTTCCCCTCAGTTTATTCATAGAGTAGTCAGAGTTCTTTACTGGAAACTTTGAACTTTACAAACTTGATTTTCTTAATTTCTGAGAATTTAGATGCAGTTGGAGAAATGACTAAAATGACTGTAAAGCACAAAATATAGTTCAAGATAATACATGTAGTATAGTGTGTGTGTGTGTGTGTGTTAGAAACAAGCTTCATAGCCACTTAGAGGAGGAGACCTGTCGATGGGACATGGGAAAACTTGTACTGTGAAGACTGTTCCAGAGTGGAGTATGTGGCGCCCTTAGGACCTGCACTGACATGTAAACCCATTGCCATGGCCAGGATCACAGTTCTGCCATCTCCTTTGTCACAGGAAGAATTGCTTAGGAGTTCCCAGATTAGTTACTCAACTGGTCAACTAGGAATATGAGAATAATCCCAGCTTTCTTGCTTCAAAAAAATCTTTCCAGATGCAAGTAAAGCCACCTTTACTGCCTCCCCGAGTTCCTGCTTCCTGGCCAACCGCAATAAAGGGAGCTCAATTTCCAGTGAGGCGGTGAAGAACGAAAGCCACGTGGAGACAGCCTACCTTTCTCTGCCCTCTGGCCAGGCTGGAGGTCTGGGCCCTGCTCTGCATCCCTTCCCTGCTGGGGGCGCGGATAGCATGCAGCTCACAGGTACCCACGGGATGTGAAGAGTTGCCTCTAGAGTTCAGCACTTCCCAAACCTGTTCCTTCATTTTTCTTAAAATGCCCAGCCCCAGGGATTCAAGAACAAAGAGGAATAATTTTAACAAATTTATAATATTTTATAAGATTTGTAACGTTTCAGTTAAAGTTGTAAGATTTAAATACCATAAAACTCAGAATACTTTTGTGATTTTTTCAGCAATTGCCATTTTTAATGATACCATTATTCACATGAGTCTAACACTTTCATGCTTGATAATTTATATGAGATGAATGAATAGTTCTCTTCTTCATTTAGTGGAAGAAAAAACTATCTTTGGTGTACATATGATCTCTTCTGTTATTGTTATTGTTTGTTTTTCTGAGACAAGATCTTGCTTTATTGCCCAAGTTGGCCTCCACCTCACGGTCCTCCTGCCTCAGCCTCCTGAGTTCTGGGATCTCAGGTGTGCACCATCACACCTAGCTTTCTGATGCACATAAAATCTTTAATATGTTTTGGAGATAGAAAAGGTTTGCTTATGGATTTGGATGAGATTTCTTCTACAAAGTGGACTCAGCCATTCTAGGATTAACTCTTACATTAGTTTTACCTTGTGGTCTAGTGTTCTTTTTGTGTCTAAATGAAAGTTAGTGGCATGGATGAGCTACTAGGGAACATTTCACATCTGTTCATCACCTGGTGTCTTTTGAAGTTCTCTTATGCACATTAACTCATGGGGTACACAGAATCTTAAGCCTGGAAAGGCCTTGCCCTTCAGCGGCCCAGCGGCACCAATGGAAGAGGGGGGTTCAGGGAGGTGGTGGGGTCCACAAGTTCCAGCTCCTCAGTGGGCCATCATGTTTGAGTTGACTTGTTTGGGCCACAGCTGCTTTGACATCAGAGCATTTTTCTTTTACCCTAAAGACTAAGCTGTCTCACACCAGCTTGTGTCTTGGCCGAGGAGCAGGGTGAGCGCCAGACCCCGGGGTTCCCAGGTGATTCTGGCCTTCCTCACACGGGGAGTCTGGAGCCTCCCCAGCCTCCTCGTCGGTCACTAACCCGTGACACCACTGCTGGGGTCCAAACCCATGCTCTGGGGGCTTTCAAATCTGGATTTTCAGTGTTCTCCAGTTATTTTTGGAGGGTAGAAATGAACCAAATTTTTCAGAAGGTATGTTAGTAAATTTTTAAAGACTTTTAAAGATCTGAGTCCATCCACTTTAATATGCCAATAAGTGAATGCTCTAGGCATTTTTTTTTTTTTCAGGTCAAATGGAGCTTTCGCAGAGCAGTGGTCCCTTGATGACACCACCCATTTCCCCAGCTATGGCCAGCCGAGGAAGCGTCATTAACCAGGGGCCGATGGCAGAAAGGCCCCCGAGTGTGGGTGCTGCGCTCCCAGTCACCCCTCACTGCTCAGCCTACCCTGAGGCCATTTATCCTGCTCTGCCGCAGGCCGCCCATGACTTCTATGGGGCCAACTGCAGCTACCAGACTGTGTTCAGGGCCCAGCCCCATGCTTCCTCAGGACTTTACCCTCGTGCAGAGCACAGCCGGTACATGGTGTGGACGGAGCAGCAGCTTCCCCGAGACTTCTTCAGCAGCAGCTGTGCTGGGTCTCCGTACAGTTCTCGGCCGCCCTCTAGCTATGGCCCATCCCCACATGCCCAGGAGTCCCACAGCATGCAGTTTGTCAACACGGGAAGCTTCAACCTCCTGAGCAGCTCAGGGACTGCCAGCTGCGAAGGAGCAACACTGCCTTCTAATTCACCCAATGGTATGAGAGGTTAAAGAATCCTCCTGGCTTTTGAGAAGGCAAAAGGGCAAACTCAGACCCTGAGCTATACCTCTGCCCAGCATAGTATCATCCACATGAGGCTTCCAAAGATCATAGCATCTTAGATATTTGGCTGATTTCTCCCAGATTTCCCAATTCTTATGACAAATTTTCCCTTAAAAGTGCCACACATGATAAAATCAAACAAAAAACTTGTGTCACATCATACACTTCAGACCAACCTTAGCAGGTCCAGGAGTGTTCTTTCCTTTAAAAATATTTTTAGTGGAGAATGTTCCCTTCAGAGACCTACAAGCAGATTTTAAAGAGTGGAACAAAGGTAGTGCCTCTTGTTAGGTCAATAGAAGCGGGGTAGTACCAGAGCTAGAGGCCATAGCCTCTGTGAGCCACCAACGCGGGCTCTGGGCTGCCCTCTGAGGCCTTGGCCCTCTGCGCTCTGTGAGCCTGTCCTCCTCCCACAAACAGGAACCTGCAAATCCCGAAGGACTTGAAAGATAGTGTAATGAGAAGCTACCAGGGATTTTTTCTTTCTGCATAGACAAACCTTATTAACTCAGATAAGAAAAATATGACAGCTGTGTAGTCTGCATCTCAAAATTAATATGACAACTCATTTCTAAAAAGTACCAAAAGCATAGTAAGTTACGACCATATATAAGCCCAAATTCAACTCTGTTAATCTTAGAGATAGATGTAACATTTACAGTTTGATATCTGCAGACTCTTTGTGATCACCTTGTAGCTTCTCCTCCCTGGATATTCTTTCTTTTTAGCTCTCATGGCATATTCTCCACCCTTGCCATCCTAGGGTACTATGGAAGCAACATCAGCTACCCTGAGCCTCACAGGCTGGGACCCTTGGTGAACCAGCACGTCTCTGTCATCAGCAGTGTGCGTTCTCTGCCTGCCTACAGTGACATCCATGACCCACTTAACATCTTAGATGATGGCAGCAGAAAGCAGACTGGATCCTTCTACTCAGACACATCAACTCCAGGTGCATGTCGGACCCCAGTACTAGGTAAATTGCTTTCGTAGTTCTTGAAACCATTGGAAAACTAATTGACCTTAGATATACACCCCTCAAAGGAGTTCTGCAGCTTGCAATAAGTGTGTTGCTAGCACCTAGCAAAGTGTGTGCAGCACAGTAGGAATTCAGTACATCAGTGAGTGTAAGAAGGAGTAGGAACTGAATCTAAAGCCAGGCACAGAAGTGCACACCTGAGCGGAGGGAGGAGGATTGAAAGTTCACAGCTAACATGGGCTACATGGAGAATCCCTGTCTCAAAATAAAAATAACTTTTAAAAAGGGCTATGGATGTATCTCAATTGCTTGCAGGCATATGAGAGACCATGGGTTCAATCCCTAACACACGTGCATGCATGTGCCACACACAAACATCTATATATACCTTCAGTCTATAATAATTAATCAGTATGTTATTACTAGCGGTATAGATCTTTAGGCTAAATCTATGTATAAATTTTCTTTCTAAAATCATTGACAAAGTGTATGCTTATTAAGAATCAAAGCTGAGAATTAATGTTTCTGTGAGATGTTTAGGGTCCTCCACTGGAACTGATTGTAGATCAGTGCAAATACAGGCATTGATACTCAGTCAGGGTGGAAGGGAGAATAAGGTAAGTCCCTCTCTGGTCACTCGGTGTACCTTTCCAATAAGCAGTCGGAAGTGCTTCTTCCCTTCCTGAGATGACAGAAGCTCCCCGTGCAGCCCCACAGCTCCTCTCCCACCATCTGCAAACAGTCATCGCTTCTAGGTTACTCTAATGAAGCAGAAAATTCCACTTCAGGAGGTTCCTCAGCCTGAGACTATAATGTGCTATGTTGCTATTGTTACTATTAGTTCTATTTACTTGTCAGATAATGGAGGCTCTGATGGACACCGGCTGAGATAGGGAGGATTCTGAGCATTGTCAGAGCTGGCTTCGGGGTGGAAGAGGCAGACAGTCAGCAGGACCAGGAGAGTCAGGGGCCTCCTTCACTGGCAGAGCCCAGTTTCCAGGGACAGACAGTGGGCAAGCAGCCACTGCATGGTGGGGAATCTGAGCCCACAGCCAGGGAGTGGCACATCTGTGTCCAGGCAGGAGGGTGTAGGGCGATCAGGCCACCACTCGTATCTGAGGAAGCTTCTCTTGTATAGGGAAGAGGAAGGCAAGGATGCATCGCCAAGTTGACTCTAGGTTCTCCGAGTTGACTGGACAGCGTGAAGTGGTAGCCGGGGACGGAAATGCTGCTCTGTGCAGGGTGGGTGGTGAGGGACGCTGCACAGGGTGTTTGGCTGCAGCGAGTAGGGAGGGAGCAGCGAGGTGAGCATCTGCCAGCGGGGTTCTGGCCAGAAGAGGTGCAGTGCAGAGTCTCTGAATGGGAGCAAGTTTGGAAGTCATTGGGCAGAAAGAAAGCCAGTGTGGCTTTGGCCACAAAGGAGGCAGTGGAACAGAATGAATCAGAGCAGAGCTCCTTTGTATAGGGCAGTGAGGACGAACCTTTCAGAGCTTTCAACGATGAACAGCCCTCTGCAGCCATGCCATAGACTTGCCACCGCTGGTGTAGGGCTTATAACCACGGGAAAAGTTAGCTTTGTTCCAAGTGTGGGAAGTCACTGCAGCATTTGAAGGATGTGCAGGTCAGCTCCATATTTCTAGAAGATCGTTCTAGCTGCTCCCTGGAGGGTGAAGAGCAAAGCAATGGTGAGAGTCTCCAGGCCCGTTAGGAAGGGGCTGTGTTGGTCCAGGCAAGAGAAGATGATGGTGCAGATGACAGAGGAGGCAGGTGGCAGAGTAGAGTTTTCATAGTAGGACTTAAGATGACATTGAGTTTCCTTTATGAGGTATAGAAGCAATAACAATTTCTAGCAAGATATCAAATGGGAAAAATGGAAAAAAAAAGTAATTGCTCTGACTACATGCACTCAAATTTCGAACAGTGTGTGTGCTAAATGCAAGACTAAACACAGAAGTTTAATGTAACACTTGCAGAGAAAAGAAAATGTCAGTCATTGCCAGTTGCTAATTCTGTTTTTTCCTTCCAGCCTCCAGTTTGCAAACCCCAATGCCTTCCTCTTCATCCCAATGTATGTACGGAACTTCTAACCAGTATCCAGTGCAAGAGACCCTGGACTCCCACGGAGCGAGCAGCAGTGAGATTATGTCCTCTTTGCCGCCCATCAACACTGTGTTTATGGGAACAACAGGGGGAGGCACCTAAACCAACCACTTCAGAAACTTTAACCATTTCTGCCATGCAGTTCCTTCAGACTGCGATGGAAGTGAAGGAAGGAGTGGACCCAGCAGCTGGAAATGGCGGCATTCATGCTACGGACAAATACATGGTGGATGGAGATGCTTGTGGTTTGCCTTGCACACACATAGTTTAAAGTGTGATCGCCTTGTTAGTCATAGTTTTAAACACTATCAAGTGAAAGCAGCGGAGATTTGAAGATATAAACATTTCAACTGTGAGGATTTACTATTTTACTCTTTAATTTATTGAAAATCTGTATGTCCTTCCTCTTGGGCCTCTAAAAAAGAAAAAAAAGTATATTTAATGCCTTTACAATACCTTTAATTTATTAGGCTCTGAGAATCATTGTTTACTATCGCTTGTTTGACCAAAAGTCAAAAGTGTATGTACTACCTCTTATGGAAATGTTTACAATGTCCACTTAATTTAATTCAGCCCAAACCAAAGGGGCTTGACTCTCAATTCCTGGACATTAGTGGGATGATTCCTGTTACATAGCAATAGCCCAATTCTGTGTAACTACAAAAGATGACAAATGTTTTTCCTCTATTTAAAAAGATAAGAAGAAATAAAATAAATAATGTATGGAAATATTTTTAAAGTCTTGATTGCTTTTGGGCTGGTACTGTTTCTGAAGGAAGCTGAGGACTTCCAGGGACAGTGCCTTTTGATATTAGTTGAAAAAAAATAAGGCTGATTGATATACTAATTCAAGAACTCTGATTATCAGACTCATCCCTATGAATATTCAAGAAATGTGACTTGTGGACTATTGTGTGGACTGTTTGTGTCCTCGGATTTGCAAAGTCTTTTATTGAGTACTTTGCTTATAAATTGAGAGTGAACGAGAGTTCTGCCATCATCGAGACCAAAGCTAATTCAGAAGTAAAGAATTCATCATAGACAAATTAACACAATTTGATAACTCTATCTCTCTTGGTTTATTTTTCTTTTCCATAGTCTTGCTTGAAAATCTTTTGCAACATTTGTGGTCTGCATAGGACATTTCTGTTAACTTGATAGACTTCTCCTATGATCTTATGGCCTGCCTCAGGTTATTCAAATTAAGAATTAGGTTGTACTGTAAGCCCTGGTGATGTTGTCAAAGGATCTCTAAGTCCCAGACATGCATTACACATTATGATACACTTTGGTAAAAATAAACTGGAGTTGTGTTCTGTAACAATGAACAGTTATGCACAGACTTTCAGGGTTGCCACTGTTTGCTTAGTAGTGTGCTCAGTAATGTCTATCTGACTGAGCAAAGAAAACTTGCAATTGCAGCAACGCATGAGCAATAGGAGACATTCTATTTTCTGCACTGACTATGCCATGGGAATATAAAGGAGAATAAAGTTAAACCTTGGAATGAAACAGTATGCAAAACATTTTTAAGAAATATTTTACCCTAAGCCCTGAGTTAGTAACCAAAATTTCAGTGTATATAATTACATGTATATTTAACATCCAACATGTGTCAGACACTGCTCAAGACAGCATGGAGAATGCAAAGATGTGAAAGACAAGGTCACACCGTTAGAATGTTTTGATGTAAAGGAAAGGCGGTGATGTGATAAGAAGTAGAACTTCATTGAAGATTTCTGAGATAAAAACAAAGTGGGGGAGAGGCTGTCCGGGAATCTCTGGCAACAGTGGGAGGGAGAGTGTGGGCTCCGTGGGGAAATTAGCCTATGAATTGTCCTTGGGAAGACAGTTCTCCCATGAAGAGGTCCAGCAGACAGGCACAGATATTACTTGGAAGGACATGTCAGAGAGGAAAAAGAACGGCATCACCTCAAAGAAACTGAGCATGACTGGGAAGAATAGTTTGAAGGACTTTCCCTAGCCTTGCTTACAAACGTGTTCCCTATCTGTGTGCAAAGCATGACCGGGGAAGTGGTTGGCCCCAGAGCACAAAGAAACTCAGAAGGCAGGTGAGTAGCATCTCTGGGTTTCATGTGCTCCTGGCCAGTGTCACCGTGCCTATTACAAAGTTTTTCAGAAAAGGCAGATGGCTTTCTCTTTCCCCTGGTGTGGAGCTGGAACTTGGTCTGTTGGAGGTGAGCAGTGTTTGGCAATAGAGGCACCACTGGCTTCCATGCAGGACAGCTCCTTGTTTTGCAGCACTATTTTGCACGTCACACAGGACCTATTATCCTGGACCCTCAGACACTGAAGGCCAGCAGAACTCCCTCTCTGAGTCACCATGGCAGTCAGAACACTTCCCATGTTACCAAACACCCTGCACACTCAGTGCCAGTGCCACGTGAGTTACAAGTGACAGCATCTTTAAATTTTGCCTAGGAGGAGCAGGAGATAGCACAGAACCTCCCTGTCCTTTGGTTACTTTCATCATTTAGGTATTTTCCTTGGAGGAGTTGAAGCCTGGATGGTCAAGGCATTTTATGACACTCTTTTGTTTAATGTAAAAGCTATAGATACAATAACTGTATAGTGTTTGCACTCAAAAATAAATTAGTTATTCTTTAAATGCTTTTATTTGGAAAGTGTGGAGTGTTAATTTAAAGAAGTAACCCACTTAACCTAATGTGTCTATGAAACGTAAACTTAAGGTTAGAAACCAGAATTTAAGAATGTTAGGGTTATAACTCAATTCTTAAGGTGCCACTTTTCAAATTTTATGTAGTAGCAGTTGCTATGAGGAAAAGACAAAATGACAAATGAATGATCAGTTAATTCAGTGAATTCTTAATGCAATTTAGAGACCAAGAACAAGTTTTATAATAATTTAAAGGCCTGCTATATTACTAAAATTGAATCACAGATCCGAAGGGACCAGGTTTATTTTCCTCTTGCTAGTTAGTATTGCACCAAAAAAAAATCTAAGCTGTTTTTAATTATATGTTCCCACAAATACTTTTAGTTCAGGAAGTATACTTATTAAAATTTAAAAATTTTTAAGTTAAATTCTAATTACACTTGTGATGTGAAAATCATTCTCTTTGTTCCTGCTTCAAGAAAGAAGGATTCAAGGTCCATTCAAGGTTTTACCTACGTGCATCTGTTTTGGAAATGAAAAGGATGGTGTTTTTGCTTGTCACTGTGTCTGAAAGGTCAGGCATGTGAATATCTGGCATTGTATAGCATAGATCTTCACAGCAGAACTTTGTCCCGCTTCAAAAGCCAATGACACTTTCAGTGAAAATGCAGGTAGATAAGTAGGCTCTGGGGTTATCCCCTGCAAACTTTCCCCAGAGGTGGTGCTCTGTGTTAGTATCTATCCAACTTAATCAGGTCATCTGAAGATCTGTGACCAGAAAATCACCAAATTACCACACACAAGAGAGGAGAGGAGAGCAGAGAGACAGACAGAGAGACAGAGAGACAGAGAGATCCAAGTCATGAAGTAGCCCCAAAAGGCATCAGTGGGTGGTGGGCTTTTCTGGTGGGCGCTGCCAGGACAGGTACTGAGCCCTATCAACACTGGAGCAGTCCTGACAGTGAGAAGCAACACCTACTTCTTGTGTACCCACTTGAATTTGCCCTTAGAGGCTCCAAAAGACACTATCTCTGCTTAGCCATTCAGGATACAGCTGTTTCATAACACTTCCTGGTCCATGACAGTATGTCTCCTCTTCTGCAGCAAACTTTGACAGTAAATTAGAGGCTTACTGATTTTGTTTGGAGGACTGAATCTACACTAATGCAGCATGTAAAAATAGAGCAAAGAATACTGCCAATTATTTTTAAGTTTATTTTTAACTGATAGTATAAAAACAAAGTTAAACACATTTATGTGGTATCAGGTGATATTTCAATACAAGTACACATTGTATAATGTTTAAATGAGGTCAAACATCTGTTTCCTCAGACATCTATCATTTCTTTATGGGGAAAACACTCAAACTCATTTCTTCTAGTTTTTTTTTTAAATCCATAGTTCATGAAAGTTAGCCCAAACAGTGCATTTTACAAAAGAAAAAAAAGGAAGAAAAGAAAAGAACACAGATGGAATGGAGGGAGGGAGGGAGGGAGGGAAGGAGGGACGATGGAAACACCTCTGAGATAAAGGAATTCTGAAGCCCAAATCCAAATCTCCAGGTTCTCAGAAAAGCTGAAGGCAAATGACAGTGATATATCTGGACTCCCGAAAGGGATATGGCAGGGATATGATGTATAAAGGAGAGCAGAATGAATCACCACAACAGTGTCACAAAGGCAGCTACATGTTCCTACAAGGCTACTGCCCACACTGTATTTTAAGGACAGATTTACAAGCCAGAATGAGTTGTAGAAATTTAAACAAAAACCTTCCAGAAAAGTAAACAATAATGATTATGTCATACAGCACATTTTGTTCTTTGGAAAAGATAAGAAAGATGAATTTATATGAAACATTATTATACCATCTCATTTGATTACTGAACTCTAAATTAAATCCTTGAGTTTGTAAATGGCAGAGAACACAACCTATCTGTTCTAAAAGCACACTGATTAAATGAAAAGAAAATAAATTTCATTAGCAATGGCTGGAAAACACTGGTTGTTTTAAGTGTATTCTGGTAAGTAATCTAGTTACTAATTGTGAGATTTTTAATCGGAAAGTCTTTGCTCTATTCTGATTGATAAATTTTTCAAGTACTTTTCTAACATCAAAATCTTATGAATAGGGCTTAATTTTGATTGACCTTGGCTATATAATACCATAGTATACATGCTTTTATTATAAAAACAATTACTGTTTTAGAATGAGCAAAATAATTTTTTGTAGAATTTAATCTGCCTAGAGAGATCTCTGATTTTCTTAACCAAAATCTCCCTTTAAACATTTATCGTTTCCATCATATTCATGCAAAAGTTAACAAGGATGGAGCCGGCCACTCATGAGTGTGACCTTCTCATTTGTCCTAGCAGTCTCTCTGTCCACTCAATAGCACTGGAAGCTTTTGGTACAAATGCAGAGCACCATTAGGTTCCTGTTCCTATTAAACTTTTATTTCCATATTATTCCAAACCTTTTATTTCCTCTCAATAATTAAAATTTATTTATTCCTTAATTAACTTGAAGAAAATATCATGGTAGTGTTCATTGTGCCTTTGTTAAGGAGTTAGTGTGCTGAAGTTTCAGAACACAGTTTCTTTTACCTCAGTTTTAACAAATATGTTAGCTCTTACTGGTACTAAGAGCACCAGAGCCCTCTGCTCCAGGGCCTAGTGAATTATGGAGGAGGACAGACATCAGACAAAAGAAGGAAGGGCAGACATGAAGCCACACACTCCACTGTGGGTCACAATGAAGACAGAACCACATATGTGAGAAGTGAATGGTACCCTGAGAACTGTAGGAAGAGTGAGGCCATGGCATGTGTGCCCAACAGGGAACAGGGCAGCTTCCAGGAAGGAGAGACGTTGGACTGAGAGCTGCTAGAGTTGGAGACTGCTGGAGGGGAGTCTTTGGGGCTTAGCAGCAGTGAGCAGCACAAGCACTCAGGACAGGAATCCAGCATGTGACCCAAGACGTGGGGGGCCATGGTAGGACATGGAGCATTTGGGGAGCAGCCCACACATGTGGGGAAGAAGCCCAAAGGCTCTCAGCAAGGGACTTTCATCAGGGCCTGGGCCA